TGCCCCACCACCCCCGTTGCTTTTAGTTGCAAGAATTGCCGGCTATTGTCGGTTACGTATACCGCCGAGCGACGGCCCCGGATAAGACACATGGGTACCTGGAGGAGGTGAACCGGATCAATGCCGACCCGGCGTTGGATTGGGTGGGTCGGTTGGCGGCGTGCATGGGACTGGAGGGCACGGATGCGATCGAGGCATTACGTTTGTTCGTGTTGTGTCATGCGGATCATGAAGGCGGTAATGTGAGTGCACACGTTTCGCACGCAGTGAGCAGTGCACACAGTGACGTGTTCTACGCCGTCGTCGCCAGTCTCTGCGGCCTCGCCGGACCTCTGCACGGTCTTGCTAACCAACAGGCTCTCAGCTGGCAAAAAAATGCACTACGCCAAGTCGGGCATGATGCCCAGAAACTTAGAGACTATGCGCACGCACAACTCGCCGCCGGAAAGAAGATTCCCGGGTTCGGCCATGCAGTTCTGCGCGTCACCGACCCCAGGTACACCCTCTTCCGCGAATGGGGCGAACAAACGCTCCACAAGGCGGAAAGCTCGGCAAAACGCAAGGCGGAAACCTCGGTGAAACGCAATCCGAAGCAACCAAGGAGAGAGCCACCGAGCGATAGCCCAGTGCAGGCGCCCAGTAGAAGTGGGAGTGGAGAAGAGATATCTCCAGAGGCTCTGGTACGGTTCAACCACCTGTGTGCGGATGTCATTACGGAGGTGATGAAGGAGTACCCAAAAATCCAGTCACCGTACCCCAACGTGGACATGGGCAGCGGCACCGTGCTGACCGCTGTAGGAATCATTGAGCCCACGATCTACACGGTCCTCTTTGGCCTGAGTCGCTGCCTCGGGGTCATCGCATCTGGCGTTTGGAGCCGCATGCTTAAACTACCCATCGAACGACCAAAGTCAGTCACACTGGAAACGCTCAACAATCTGGTCAAGCAAGCCCCAGGTAACAACCAATAGTCCAGTACCACTGCAGTGTGTCGTGTGCACCCATAGTTTGCACCTGCTGCGTGTTTTGGTGCACACGGTTCGGGCAACAATGCAGGCAGCTGTTTTTAACGTGCTCAATGACATCTGCATGACGGAGGAAGAGATTGCCGGCATCGGCTCAGTTATGGAGGTCCTGGCAGCCACTTATCCCAACAAAACCGTAAGCAAAAAAAATCCCGCTCAACGTTCCCAAGCAAACGATTCCAAGCACACTATCCGAGACGCACGCGACCCGATAAAGTTGAGGCCAGCCCGGCCAAAACAGGTAAGTAAGGGATACAGGTAAGTAAGGGATACAGGTAAGTAAGGGATACAGGTAAGTTAGGGATACAGGTAAGTCAGGGATACAGGTAAGTAAGAGATACAGGTAAGTAAGAGAATGAAAGAGAGAAGGCAAGAGATGTGGGTGCAAACTTGATGCAGCATGTTAAATCAAACTCTACTGCCAATTTGAAGCACCGCGTTTTTCTCGCCACGCTTCGACGCTTCTATAGGACAACAAAGTTTGCAAGGCAAACCCCATAGGAGCAACGTACGTGGCTTGTTATCAGACAGAGGTTTTCTACGCCTCACGCATCTCCTCAAAGGTATCGGAGCCCAATGCTTGTCATCACGATTAACCGTGTGTGTGTGTGGGTGGGTGTGCCCAGTCTGATGTTGGTGTCCGGGCGGAATCACGGATAGAGGATTATCGTTGAGACAGAGCGGTATGGATGAGAAATGAATGTTGTCCAGTCAAGTGCGTGTCTAGACATCGCGCGAGAACAGATGGCTTCCCTGCACAGACTGTGTCGATGTCGCACACCGGAATCCCTCGCGAATCCAACAGGGGCAGACACGGAGGTTGTAGAGGCTGCTGATTCAGGAGTTGTACAGGAAGGATCAAAGTGGCAGCCGCACAGGTTCCGGCTCACCAGAATATTCCAGACTTGCTTTAGCCGCCATATGACTCAGCTCGGCGTACGTACAACGCCAGCAGAGAGGAATGAAACGGCGTGCGAGTGTACCACATTCAATGGTAGTGATCGACTTTCTACCAGTAGTCGACTCCTTAGTAGTCGACTCCTTAGTAGTAGTACTCGTCGGCTGCTTCGAAGCACTAGTTGTTTTGAGGCTTCTGGTTATTCATCCTGAGAGATAAATTAGTGGTGGTGATAATTTTAATTTAAATCCAAAAAAAACTTAGGGGGGGGGGGTTCCGGCCCGTTGTGTCCCCGAGCTGTGCTGGGAGAATTCATTGGGATTCTGCCAGAGTAATTAATAGAGCCGAAAATGAGGCTATGGTCAATATTGGTCGTTATTGTGTGTTTGATGGTGTTGGATGTTTCCGCGGCTCGCAATTCTGTGTTGCCTCGCACAAAGAAAGAAGCGCAAAGAGCGTTTGTGGTTCTCTTGGTTCAAAGTAAGGGTGTGCTATTAATGGTTGCGGATAAGAAGAGTAAGGGATTACATTATCAGTTACCAGGGGGTCGAGTTGATGAGGCAGACTTCAAACAGCTGGGTATCAAACCTGACGCACGGACCCTCGTTGAAGAAGACATGATTAAGGTAGCTCGAATAGCGGCAGCGCGCGAGATATTTGAAGAAACCGGGTTCACTTTGGAACCGGAAAAGCTACAGTATATATCGGCGATTTCTGAGAAAATTGCCACCAATAGAAAGCGGAACGGCTACATGAGAGGCACTCAACTACCCAGCAAGCTCTATTTCACAGCCGAGATCCCGTACGAACAATTCCTACGACAGTCAGTCGTCCTAAGTTCCGAACATATCGGTTACGTGCTTGAACCCAACTACAGAAAGGTGCCCGACATGATCAAAGACCACTCAGGCGGTGACAATGCAGACGCGTTCAAAATGCTGCTAAGAGAGACCGGCGATAAAATCGTCTTCCAGTGACGTGGCTTTAGTTGCTCTGGGCTTTAGTTGCTCTGGGCTTTAGTTACTCTGGGCTTTAGTTGCTCTGGGCTTTAGTTACTCTGGGCTTTAGTGGCTCTGGGCTTTAGTTACGCTGGGCTTTAGTTAACGATGTTTTTGACCGTTTTTTAACCACCAAGCGATTCACTAAGCGATTCACTAAGCGACTGCTTCACCTGTTGCACCTGTTCACTACCTCGTGACCTGTTTAGCTGGCGAGCATCTGGCCAGTGAGGCGTCGAACGTTTCTGGTCGGTGTTAAACAGCATATTACCTTTAGAACGGTATCTGGTGTTCTCGAAGGTGCTTATGCAGTCGCAGAAGACTTGTTATGAGCAGCAGAAGATCCCACATGAGGATGTCCATGTCAAGGTTGTGGTTCGCTGTCGCCCGTGCGCGGAGGCGAGTGAGGTGTTGGAGTTGCGTCCAGCGCAAAAGGAGATTTGTGTTTTCGATGTGCACAAGGGGCCTCAGGAGCACCGTTACATTTCGAACAGGAATCGTGCGTCAACAGCTGATGACCATAGCCGTAGTGTGAGTAACCATGGGTTAAGTATTCATGGGTTGAGACAGCAGCCTACGGAGGCCAAGAGCTACGTATTTGACGGGGTGTGCGGACCTGATACGACGCAAGAGGAGTTATTCGAAGCGCATATTGTGCCGTTGGTAGAAGAAGTACTACAAGGTTTTAATTGCACCATCTTCGCTTATGGTCAGACGGGTACAGGCAAGACGTACACTATGGAAGGGGATTGGAATCGAGATTTAGGTAGCGAACCGAGTACCCCGAACCTGGGCGAGAATGTGCCTACTCCCAACACTATAAGGGCGGGACGAACGCCTCTAAAAACGCCGTCTAAGATGTGTGTTGGAAGTGGAATTCCCACACCGCCACTAGGTGGATACAATGGCAACATCCAATTGCCAAAGGGTGTAGGTATGATACCTAGATCAGTAGCATTGATTTTCAAGAGGTTGAACAAGATGAACTGCGAGTCAAGCTTGAAAGTAAGTTTTCTCGAAATATACAACGAAGATTTAGTGGACTTACTCCAGATGGGCGACAAACTGCCCCTCCGAATATACGACAACACTCTGGTGACTCGAGGACTTGCTGTTAAGAACCTAACAGAGATCCCTGTCAGTTCGTTACCGGAAGTTTACAAAGTACTTTCTCATGCTACGAAGAAACGCAAGACAGCGGAAACATCACTGAATCGGCAGAGCTCCAGGTCCCACTCTATCTTTGCAATCACTATCACAATCAAGGAGATTTCCACGGATGGTGAAGATGTAATTCGCATCGGCAAACTCAACTTGGTCGACTTGGCAGGCAGCGAAAATATTCAACGTAGCGGTACAGATAGCAATACTCTCAGAACCAAGGAAGCCGGGATCATCAACCAGTCACTTGTAGCTCTCGGTCGAGTCATCAACGCCCTCATCACACCCAGCTCCTATGTTCCGTACAGAGATAGCAAACTCACTCGATTACTCCAAGATAGCCTAGGAGGAAGGACAAAGACATGCATTATCGCCACCATCTCTTCCTCCATTCATAACTTCGACGAGACGTTAAGCACATTAGACTACGCCCATAGAGCTAAACATATAAAGAATACTCCGCAGGTCAACCAGCGAATGAGCCAAAAATTCCTCATGAAGGAACTGCATGCTGAACTTGATAAGCTCAAAAGGGAATTGCAAATTGCAAGGGAACGGAGCGGCGAGGTACATCTCACCAACGAGACCTATAAAGAGATAGAGTTACAATTATACGAATTTCATGAATTACAAAAGACCTCAAATAATATGAAAATCAAATTAGAACAAGAATTAACCGCGAGTAACAATAAACTTAATGAATATAAACTTGAATCCGAGCAATACTTTCAGGAATTGCGAGAATTAAATGATGATTATAACAACCTGCGCAATGAATTAAACAAAATTAACCAGGATTATTATCTGGAAACACGCGTGTCTGAAAAATTATGGGGGTTAGCAACATCACTGAAGAATAAGGAATCATACTTTGAGCAACATTTTCTGGCAATAGGCTCGTATCTTCTTTCGTTCATACAGCACTATGAGCGGCTCTTGGATCACGCTCTGGAATTTCAGCATAAAAACACGAATGTTAATAACCAACTGATTAACGAGAATGATAGTTATTTAACTACGTATTTAGAGATAATTGACAGGATTAAGACAATTATTAAGGGTGACTTGGAGAAGTCGATGAGATATGTGAAGAATATAATTGTGGCATTGGAGAAGAGTCAAAATCTGGCTTTAGAGTTATTTGAGAATTTAACGACGCAGTGCCAGAATATGACAGGGTTCTGTGAGGCCGCTTTCAGGAAGACGCATCAGCTTTACGCCGAAAAATTTACGGAGACATTGGCTGTGATAAAGAATGAGTTTGGGACGAAGCTGATTGTTGGATTGTATAAGTTGATAGAGAAGAGCGAGGACGTGAGGAGCTATATCACGAAGACAGAGGCGACTTGGAACCAATCATCTTCAAGTTCAATAAAAATGATAGAGGACATTGGACGGGAAAGCGGCGAGTACTGTAGAAATGTACAAGCGTGGTATAGGAAGGTGTATAAAGACGGATCTGCAGGGGATGGATCACATGCTACAGGTTCAATCCGAGCTGGTTCTCCTTCTTGGCAAGGTGGCAAGTCCGAGATGGACATTAACAAGAGGCCTTGTGTAGTTGAGTCATTGAAGACGAACTTGAAAGAATTTAACGGGACGTTGATGGACTCCGTGAAACTCCGGTTGGCTGGACAAGAGGCTCTTTTGAATGAGCAAATCCGAATGATAGTTAGCAGTCAGGCAAAGTTTGGACGGGATTTGATGGACCGGTTATCCTCTGTGCTGGAGAAAGAGCAGGATCGCATCCTAAAGGAGGTTGCTGGATTGGAGAGGTGGTCAGAGGGAGTGATGCGCGAATTTGTCTCGCGCTCAGAAAACAGTGCCGGACGTATGTCGCCGCTTGTGGCAGGTGTGAGAGACAGTGTGCAAGGGTTCCAGCGGCAGCGTAAGCAGGACCTTGATTTCTTTAACGAGTTCTCGGCCACGACCTTCTCTAACGCTAAAGAGATTGGGAAAGATTGGCAAAGTCTATGCAACAGACTGGATGACGACGAGTTACCAAAGACTCTCGCACAAGAGCTGGAGACGACAATTGGCACCCTGGTTGCTGTGCGGGACAAGACAGACAACCTCATCAGGGAAAATGCAGGCTTGCAGCAACGAACAATGGAAGGACTGTTTAGCAGCGTCGATCGACTCGCCAATTTCCAAAGCGGATGCATCCACGGTTGGCCAGCAACATCAGAGGAGCAGGAGTCAACGGAACGGGGGTCAAGGAGGGACGCAGGATCAGGGAGGAACGCTGAGTCACGGAGGGAGGCGAGGGAGCAGGAAGCGAGTGTGGAACAGCCCAAGGAGTATATCCAGAGGGATGATGTTCCGAACGGTCAATGCGATGAGGACGCCGGCATGAATCTGGAAGAGGAGGGAACTGAGATAGCGAAGCAAGTGGATGACGATGGAGGCGGTCAGTTGCACTCGCTGGATCAATTGGCGTTGAGGTTGCGAGAGACGCTAGGTGTAGAGCGACTGTCGGCGCTCAAGTCTTTGATCGACTTCCAGTTGGAGTTCCGAGAAGGGATTGTGAACGAGTTCCAGGACAAGATTGGCGAGGCGCAGAACGTGGCTACACAGTGCAAAACGAATGTGCTGAACGGCTGCCCTACAGAGGCGGTCTTCTCCCTGGAGTTTTACCGTGAACAAGAAGAGGAATCCGTTGCCACGACCAAGTCTTTTTTTATATAACCCCTCATGACTACAGTTTCAATTGGATGTAAGGCCACGACCAGGGCGGGCACCACCAGGGCGGGCGCGACCAGGGCGGGTCCGCAGCACAGCGTAAGGTGGGTGGGCATGGCATGCTTGTTTAGCTGTTGTGGAGGGGGCATTTACGAAGGGGTTGCCGCATGTGAAGGGACCAGTCCTGTCTTACGAGACGTCCACGCCATTCACTCCTGGCGGGGTAACTATTATCCGTAACGAGGCATGCCCGAGACCGGGCGAAGTTTTGTTGTTGGCGAATGACATGCTGAACAGTGTTCGTATTACGCCTCCAGCGGCCGACGCAGAGGTATCAGACCTAAGCGAGTGCGCATTGGACGAGGCCTTTAAACGCGAAGCCGACAACATCAACACACTCGTCCCCATGGGAACGGGAGTGTCTGTGATGGCTCAGTCTCTCTTCGATAATTTCTATAAACAGTACGACCATACCCGCCCGCCTCGCTGCTTTATTGATCCCCCCTTCCCACCACGGTAACAGACTGCCACTCAGACTCCCCAAGGATACGAGGTGGTACAATGATGGCAGCGGACAAGACATAATCGTGCTCGGAGTCCGAGTACGGTATCCCTATAACAGTGACTGCTGCGAACCTTTAGATCAACTGGGCCACAAGAGTCTCCGCAGAATCCGGGACATGGTCTCCAACTTCGCCCCCAAGAAACCGTAGGCCGAGAAATAGCCTCCTTTTTTCCTTCTTTATGGCTACCTCCTCATCTAAATACGAGAATGAACTAAAAAGGCTCAAAGCCACGTCGCTGTCGGAGCAACTCGGGGAGGACTTTGGAGAAATTGTATACGACGCCCATCATAGCCCCCCCTCTCAGCTTCACCAGAACTACTTGACACGCGATTTGCACACACACGGAATCGTGGGTGGACACTCACTCTCGTGGAGCACACACACTGCTTGACGCACAGCAACTGTGCTACGGACACGTAGAGTGTAGTTAGAGAAGTGGATGATGACGAGTTGGACAGGTTAAAGAAGCACCGGAGCGTTCGAGATTTCATCGTAGGAGAAAGCGACATCTGCGAAGAGGACGAAGATGACTTCATTATCGAACCATCTTACGTCTTTCAGGAGGAGGAGGAGGAGGGACGAGGTGAAGGACGCCGCGACCCAGCGCGAGAAGATTCAGGGCCCAGGAGCCGTCGCCAGAGAGACGAGAGGAAGCGGAAGAAGCCGCCGGTTTCAACAAGTCTCAGTTCCCAGATTGGTTCGCAGGCGAAAAGACATAAGAACACGAATGTCTTGGACTTGTTGAAAATGAACACGGCGGTGGCCATTGACGAGAACGCTTTGACCGCGGCCGTCCAGCAAGCCTTAGTATCGAACAACGATTGGAAATCTAAGTTCAAAGAACTCAAAAGTAAACAGAAGAAGAGCACCGACTTTAAGGGCGTTATCAATCCACTGAACGGCATGTCTCTGGTCGCACCTTCTCATGACGCATCGCCTTCTATCGACATTCAGGAACAGCTTGGTCCAGAACAGGTTGCTCCGGAGCAGCTTGTTGCGGAACAGCGCCCTGGTTCAAAGCTAATCGGCGACAAACCTTGGAGTGAAACAGATGCGCCTACCAAACCTGTAGATGGACCAACGGCAGACGAGTCTACTGACATGGATCGGGTAACTGTGGATGGGGCTCCTGTGGGTGGGACTACTGGGGGTGCCGCTTCCGAGACGGACTCTTCCAGGTTCGAGGTGGGAGTCACGCAGGTCGTGGAGTCGCCACGGCCGGTTCTCAATAAGGCAAGGCAAGGGGAGCCTGATGCTGCTTTGTTAGGGAGTCTGTCCTCTGCTGAGCTGTCGTCGTTGATGGTGCCGGAGGCAGAGGAGGCCCCGGCAGCCGCGCCAGGTGCAGCGACGTCGGAGGTGGTGGAGCGCGGCAGCGGAGCATCTGTGGCGTCGTTCATGCACTCGTCTTGCCCCCTAAAGTGTGTGCACGGGCGAGGTGCGGAAGCCGAACGTGTTGCGGAGCCTGGCGTCTTGCTATATTGGTACGACGTCCGGGAGTTGTCTTCACGGGGTACGGTGTGCCTGTACGGAAGGGTGCAGAGTCCCAGCAGCTTGAGCGCCACTGTTTCCGTACATGTCTCCAATGTGCGCAAAACCGTCTTTCTGCACCCGACAGGCCAGAATGACCGGGCTCACCAAGAAGACCAGACTCATAAGGATGGGGAGGCTGGACGACAAGAGTACGGAGCTCGTCGGTTGGCGGAAGTCCAGGACCGATTCGTGGCTTTGGTACAGGACTACGAGCTGTGGAAGTACGACGTGAAGGTGGTACCAGTGTGGAAGAAGTTGGTCCTGCACGAGCGGTCGGATTTGCTCGACGAAAATCTCTGGTTCGAGTTGAGTTTCAGCTTTGCCTTTCCGGGAAAACTGAAGGAAACGGACCTGGGACTAGGCGGAGCTGTGGACGTGGTCGTAGACCCCTCAGCGGCAGACAAGAACGCAGGCTACGATGAGGCCGTTGTGGACAGCTTTCTATTGAGCAACGCACTCGAGGGTCCTGGATGGCTGTATCTCACGAATTTGGATGAGTCCTGGATGAGTACACCAAAGACTACCATTTACCGTCCGATTACTAACACTGGCGTCCCCAATTTAAGTATAGTTTGCTTGGCAGTACGCGTCATAAAGAACCCCGGGACGGGCGAAGTCGCCCACGCCGTTGTCAGTGCCATCATGAACAACCGATTATTTGCACTCGGGCGCACTGACCATAATATACATCAGAACCACCAACGTTCGTACGCGGCCCTATACAGCTCCGACCGCAAAATTCTCTCTCTGTTCCGAAACAGGCTGTCTAAAACTACCGCGACTCTCAGGGAATGGTTTGACAACATTTGCATGTGGGTCAAAGACCACAACCCGGATATCGTGGCCGGACACGGCCTTACAATGAATACTCTACCCATACTGTACCAAGTTGCGCTGCAGACCAAAAGTTCCTACTGGAATTGCCGGGACAGAATACCCATAAATCAGTTGCAACGACCTTCTCAAGTAAGCATACGTCGTTAGGCGCGTCTCAGCTAGCCTGCAATTCTATTCTTGTGGGGGCTAGAGAGAATCTTGTCGGCCGGCTGTTTGGTCTAGTGGTATGATTCTTCCTTAGGGTGGAAGAAGTCCTGGGTTCGATTCCCAGAACAGCCCGTTGTATTTTAGTTGTTTCCGGGTCGGCTTATTTGCGACACGATGAAGCTCGGAGAAGAGGCGGTACCTGGAGAAACTGATTACGCCATGCAACCTTTCGTCGAGAGCGTGTTCGGAGGTCAATCTGCCGAGCATGCTTTGGCTGCAAAGATGCCGACAGATCTCGAAATGTTTCAAATGTTCCAAATGAGTAATCATGAGCAACTGGCGGGAGCAAATGGCAAAAGCGGCACGTAGCAAGGGTGTCACCACCGTGGGGTAAGGGTGGTACGTAGCAAGGGTGGGTATAAATAGGTGTTGCTTAGAGAGTCAGGAGTTGGACGGCAAGGAAGCGGTGGACGCGCTAAATCTAAAGGGTCGTTACGGCGCCAGTTATTGGAGTGCGTGTTTGGACTTGTGTTTGCGAGAGCCGTTATTAACCTACGCGTTGGTGTTCAAATTGGCAGTGTTGCCTTTGACTCATGAATTGGCAAACATCAGCGGTTGTCCGTGGAACCGGTCATTAAGTTGCCAGCGGGCACGTCGCAACGAGTACGTGTTGATGCATTACATGACGCGGCACGGCTACGTCTATGGCACCTACAGCGGGGAGGCCTTGTCCACCTACGCAGGTGGCCTGGTGTTGGATCCAGTCAAAGGTTTGCATCAGAATTACATCCTGTATCTGGACTACGCCTCGCTATATCCTTCGGTTATACAGGAATTCAACGTAGATTTTACAACCGTAGGCCGAAAGTCGAATTCGAAATCGAATTCGGAATTGACGTTGGAGACTGAATCGAAGGAAGTGGATCTGGTGGACTATTCGAAGGAGTACGAGAAGGGGATCTTGCCGTCGATTTTAGAAGACTTGGTTCAGAAGAGGCGTGCAATAAAGGCCCGATTGCGCCAGGTTCCGTCTGAGCAGTCGCAGTTGTTGGATGTTCGGCAGCGTGCTATCAAATTAATCGCAAACAGCATTTATGGTTCGCTTGGGTTCCGTCAGTTCCGATTTTACTCGCCCCTCATAGCTGCCACGACCACGGCTTGGGGCCGGCGCGTGCTGAGTAGGACCAAGGAGAAACTCGAAAGTTCCTTCGGTTGCACGGTTGTGTATGGCGATACGGACTCACTCATGATTGACTCGGGTATTTATGACGAAGGCGCCTCACTGGCCAACTGCCAGCAAGCTCTAAATAAGGCTACAGAGTTCACCAAGGAGATCAACAAGACCCATTCCAAACTCGAACTGGAAGTCGAATGTGTGTTCAAAAAAATGCTCCTGCTCAATAAAAAAAAATATGCGGCACTCAAAGTCGATTTCGCACATACCGGAGCGCCCACCAAGGGCGGCACTGGCACGGGCGGCACTGGCGTGGGCGTTGGAGGCAAGTGGACCACGTCGTTGGTGGTGAAAGGCGTGGATATTGTGCGCAGAGATTGGTGCGAGTTAACGCGCAAGATCGGTTATCAGATCCTCGACATTGTGCTCTGCCAAAATCTGGATCCGGAGCAGATGCCGGACAAGCTGTACAATTTATTGCAGCGCTATGCAAAAGACCAGGTGCAGCTCGGTCTGGCCCAGGGACCGGACACAGGGAGTCTGGACACAGGGAGACCGGACACAGGGAGACCGGACACAGGGAGTCTGGACACAGGGAGACCGGACACAGGGAGTCTGGACACAGGGAGACCGGACACAGGGAGACCGGACACAGGGAGACCGGACATAGGGGGAATGGACACGGGGGGACGGGATACAGGGGGTCTGGGCGACTTTGTGATCCACAAGTCGGTGACCAAGGCGTTGAGCAAGTACCCGGCAAACCATAACCAGCCCCATGTGACGGTGGCGTTGCGTTTGAAGGCCGAAGGCGTTTCGGTGGAGCCCAAGACGGTGATTCCGTACGTGGTGACGGCGGGCGACGAGGCACTGGCTGCAAGGGCGTATCACCCGAGGGAGGTGCACAGACTCGGCCGGAAGGTGGACTGGCACTACTACAAGGCGAGCCAGATCTTCCCGCCCGTGGAACGGCTACTGCGGCACATTCCGCAAGTGGACCTTGGGAAAATCGCCGCCATGTTTCAACTTCATCGAACGCATCTAGACCGAGGGGCGGAGGCAGGCGACGAAGAGGAAGGCCCGGACCTCTCATCCTTCGCGCCCTCGAGGGCCGGCAACCGACTTGAGCTACTGAAGGAGTGGAGCCGCGGTGCCGTGGCCAGCGGTTCCGGAAAACGCTCCTGGGTCGTGACCGACGTCCCTTGTCTGCAATGTCAGACCAGTCTTGGTCAGACCAGTCTTGGTCAGACCAGTCTCTTGACTTGTGGCAAGTGTGGGCACACGCACCCGGCCGAGTACGAATTGCGGCACCTGGAAAGCGAGTTCTGGTCGCTGCGGCGCGAACTGAACCGTTTCCAGGTATTCTGCAGACAGTGTGAGAGTGTGCAACCGCTCACCCTCTACTGCCGCGGTTGCGACTCCGCACAACTGGAACTGCACATCGACGAAGGCACCTACGCGCATGCGACCGTCGTACTACGCAGGCGACTCGACGAACTCACACACTTGATACTTACGGAAAAAGAAACGGACAACGAGGACGCAGACCCGAGCCTGCGTACACGGAACAAACGACTGCAACACGACATTGCGGCCTTCCGCAACCAACTTCAAGTCAGCCACGTGCGCCCATGCTGTCTGCGGGAGGTGGCGGCTCTGCTCACCTCCTCCTCACATCGACGGTCGCTGTTCCTCTGACCGGGACTAAGAAGAGTCAGCCGAGGAGGGACCCTTAGAGGACGCCCCAAACTGCTTTCAAATTTGAACCACAGCCCGATAGCGCTGTGCAGCACCTGGCAACCCCCAAAGGTCCACCAGAACGGGCGGATTGGGACGCCCAGAATTTGTGCGTGTGTGGCCAGCGTCGTCAAGACCCTTTTTGCTGGGTGAGTTGTTGGGGATTGTTCTAGTGGTCCGTGTGCGGGTTAGGCTGCCGTGGGCTGCGGGTTGGGTTTTCGTGGTTTCTTCCCCGCCGGCTCCGCTCTTCCGGCAGGCCCCGTCTCTCCGGCCGGATCTGCCTTCTCTTTCGGCTCTATCTTCCCTGTTGGCTCCGCCCTTCCAGTTGGTTCTTTCCTCTGATTTTCGTCTTCGAGTGCCGCGTGTAGTAGGTCTTGAGCGTAGAGGTAGAATTCGGTATGGAATTGAAGGGCGTGTACCCACTCGTAGGGGATGCTGGGTTCGCCGTAATGGGCGCCGGCGATTTGACCATAGACTGCGCCGATTGTGTCAGAGTCGCCGCCAAGATTGACTGCGAGAAGGGCACCTTCTGCGAAGGAGTCGGAGTGGGCGAAGGCCCAGAGGGCGGCTTCGAGTGTGTGGACGACGTATCCACTCGTCTGCAGCTCGTGGACCGCCTTGTCGCGAAAACTTCCACGAGCCACCGCCAGAATCCTCGGCGCCAAGTTGTTTCCAGGACGACTCCAAAAAAACTCGGAGGGAAAGATCGAGAGCAACTGCTCCTTCGGACAACCCCTCAAACAACCCCACAACAATGCGGCCAGATATCGCGCACCATCCACCGCCTCCCGCGCCCGGTGCGTCGTCTTGCTCGATGCCGCCGCCGCCACCACCACGCGATCCAACTCGGCGACTAGCGCACTGTGTGAGTCGGTTGTGAGTGAGTCGGTTGTGAGTGAGTCGGTCGTGAGTGAGTCGGTCGTGAGTGAGTCGGTGGTGTCACGGTCCCGATAGAGCCAGCCGCGTGGTTGGGCGAAGAAGAGCGATACGGGAGCGAGGCGCATGATGCTGCCGTTTCCTGCAGCGGAGGGTGCGTCAGGTCCGCAGTCGTAGGGGTTGAGTGTGACAGCGAAGCGTTGGAGGGCGGCGCGGACGGTGCGTCCTACGCCCCAGGCGCGTCCGGCGGTGGTGAAATGGCCGAGTTGGAACCAGTCAAGGAAGTGTTCGAGAACGTCGCGTGGGTCAAGTCCATGTGTTTTGAGTAAGCTGTGGGCCAAACACAGTGCCATGCTCGTGTCGTCCGTCCACTCCCCACGCCGCGTTTGATTTCGACCGCGGCCGTTCATACCCGTAATCGTAACTGGCTGCGATCGGAACTCGTTTGGTGCACCTAACGCATCACCCACAGCCAACCCCAAGAAGCATCCAACGTACCGAGCCATCCATTGCCCGTATCGCCCACGGTCCAAACGCCCTGGCAGACCCGGCTGGTTCTGACCCGGACCCTCAAGCACGGTCCTCAGGCCGGCCGGCGCCGCCGCCTCCAACAGTGCCAGGTTTGCCTCCACGCCTGGCTTAGTGACACCGGTCTCAGAGCCCCCAGTCTTGGTCAGCTGGAGCTGGGTCTGGGTGGGGTCAGTCGGGTGGCGCGGGACCTGATTCTGAGCTTGACGCCGGCGCAGCTTCAAATAGTCCTGCAGCCAGACGGGCGGGCCGCCTAGCGAGTCTCTGCCCAGGGCCATTGTGCGGTGCCGATGAGATTTTGTTCGCCGAAATGAAAAGAGCCCTCAGCCGCTGGGACGACGCCTCCGCGAAGGCCGCAACCCCGACGCCCGTGACGCCGGTACTCGCGGAGGAGGAACGCAAGCGGCTGGAACGCGCGGAAAAGTTCAAACGTCTGAAGCAACGGCGACTCAACAAAGACGAGACACCCAAGACCGGCGTCAGTAGGACCGGCCCAGCGACCGCCGCCAAGCGGACAGGCCCAGCGGCCAGCACCGCAGCTGCCCCCGGCGCCGCCGTCCCAGG